GTCACATCAAAGTTAATACTTTCCTACTGGGGAAAGAAAATGCAATATGCGTCAAAAACACATTCAAAAATGCAAAATGCGCCAGAAAATACATCAATAACAGCACAGAGAGGTGTGAACCTAGCCTTATTGTTTGTAGAATAAAATTAGTCCTATTGTTGGTCTCTGTAGAATAAAATCCTATCATTGGTGTCAGCAGAATGAAATAAGCCCCCTCTTTGGTGCCAGTTGGATGACTTACTCTCTATACAGTTGGAGTTCGTGAGATCAAATATGCCCTATAAAAAAACAAACTGTAGCGCTAAAGTTGGGTAAAAGTACACTTGTGACGTCATATGTAAAGGTCAAAACCCCGGGGTCTAATTGGAGCACAGCAAATCATGGGGCCCCTGGGCAATAGGGGATCGTGGGGCCCCTGTGTCCTTACCCAAACTTAAAAAAGCCTATGAAAAAGGTACCAGGGGCATCACATAAGGCCCCCTACTGACCCCGGGCCCTCGGGTAGTGCCCGAGTTTCCAAATGGTCAGTCCGCCCCTGAACATCAAAGTCTTATAAAACCTTGTCAAACAGATGGGGAAATACTCAACCATACAGTTAGGCTGCTAGGCTAAGACTGGATGAAATATAGACTTCTAGAAAGTAATACAAGGTAATGTTCACTAATTATGTGTATCCTTTTTTTACTAAAATGTTGTAAATCAATATAAACAGCATTACTATAAAATGACCAGTAGAGAGAGCCTGAGTACAGTGACAAGAGGTATGGCTGTAGAAACATCATATACATGAAACTTTTACCCAAAAGGGAAAAGATATAACAAAGAATAGCATAGCATCAGAGGAGGTAAAATAAGATACAATGCAATAAAAAATAAAAAGGGGGGGGGGCAAAGTGGATGACAAAGAGGGGAAACTGAAAATAAATAAATGTATCTATGTAAATTAAGGTAAAGATGTGTAGCGCCACCCCTGCAGGGGCTGCTGGAGGATGACGGTCCCCAAAGGTTGCCTTGACTTGACTGTAAGTCTCCTGACACCTCTGACATGACCTGGGCTCAGACATACACTATATTGCCAAAAGTATTGGGAAACTCCTCCAAATCATTGGATTCAGGTGTTCCAAACACCTCCATGGCCAAAGGTGTATAAAATAAAGCACCTAGACATGCAAACTGCTTCTACAAACATTTGTGAAAGAATGGGTCGCTCTCAGGAACTCAGTGAATTCAAGTGTGGTACCGTGATAGGTTGCCACCTGTGCAATAACTCCATCCGTGACATTTCCTGGCTACTAAATTTTCCACGCCCAACTGTTAGTGGGATTATAACAAAGTGGAAGCAACTGGGAACAACAGCAACTCAACCATGAAGTGGTAGGCCACGTAAAATGCGCATGTTGAAGCACATGGTGTGATGAAGTCACCAACTGTCTGCAGAGTCAATAGCTAAAGACCTCCAAACTTCATGTGACCTTCAGATTAGCACAACAACAATGTGTAGAGAGTTTCATGGAATGGGTTTCCATGGCTGAGCAGCTTCATCCAAGCCTCACATCACCGAGTGCAATGCAAAGTGTCAGTTGCAGTGGTGTAAAGCACACCGCCACTGGACTCTAGAGCAGTGGAGACATGTTCTCTGGAGTGACAAATCACGCTTCTCTGTCTGGCATTCTGATGGATGTGCCTGGGTTTGGTGATTGCCAGGAGAATGGTACTTGCCTGACTACATTGTGCCAAGTGTAAAGTTTGGTGGAGTGGGGATTATGGGGTGGGGTGGGGTTTTTTTTCAGGGGTTGGACTTGGCCCCTTAGTTCCAGTGAAGGGAACTCTTAAGGCGTCATCATACCAAGACATTTTGGACAATTTCATGCTCCCAACTTTGTGGGAAGAGTTTGGGGATGGCCCCTTGCTGTCCAACATGACTGCACACCAGTGCACAAAGCAAGGTCCATAAAGATATGGATGAGCACGTTTGGGGTGGAGGAACTTGAATGGCCTGCACAGAGTCCTGACCTAAACTCGACAGAATACCTTTGGGATGAATTAGAGCGGAGACTCCGAGCCAAGCCATCAGTGCCTGACCTCACAAATGCTCTTATGGAAGAATGGTCAAACATTCCATAGACACACTCCTAAGCTGCAACCCAGTGGTATGAGGAGGGCAACAGCTGCCAGGAAGATTGTGTGGTGGTTAACATTCTTGAGGAGGCCTGGATGGAGAGGCAGGTTGATCATGGATGATGGTATTTTACACTGGTGTCTTTATTTGTGCTCATAAAAATTGTCTAAGCAGATCATTTGAGGGTGAATTTACATGTGGAGGGTCATCTGGGATACCTCTTCTCCCCCAGCAAATCTCCCAGACAACACCCCAGAGACCAACAAGGTGGATCCTGTTGCTGCAATCCAGTGGTGTGAGGAGGACAACAGCTGCCAGGAGGTTTGTGTGGTGGTTAACATTCCTGGGGAGGCCTGGATGGAAAGGCAGGTTGATCATGGATGAAGGTATTTTACACTGGTGTCTTTATTTGTGCTCACAAAAATTGTCTAAGCAGATCCTTCGAGGGTGGCGCTACATGTGGGGGCTCATCCGGGATACCCCTTCTCCCCCAGAAAATCTCCAAGACAACACCCCAGAGACCAACAAGATTGATCCCGTTCCTGCAACCCAGTGGTGTGAGGAGGACAACAGCTGCCAGGAGGTTTGTGTGGTGGTTAACATTCCTGAGGAGGCCTGGATGGAGAGGGAGGTCTATCATAGATGAAGGTATTTTAAACTTGTGTCTTTATTTGTGCTCACAAAAATTGTCTAAGCAGACCCTTAGAGGGTGGCGCTACATGTGGTTGCTCATCCGGGATACCTCTACTCCACCACCAAATCTCCTAGACAACACCCCTGAGACCTACAAGATGGATCCCGTTGCTGCAACCCAGTGGTGTGAGGAGGACAACAGCTGCCAGGAGGTTTGTGTGGTGGTTAACATTCCTGGGGAGGCCTGGATGGAAAGGCAGAAGATTGATCATGGATGAAGGTGTTTTACACTGGTGTCTTTATTTGTGCTCACAAAAATTGTCTAAGCATATCATTTGAGGGTGGCGCTACACATGTAGGTTCATCCGGGATACCTCTGCTCCACCAGTATATCTCCAAGACAACACTCCAGAGACCATCAAGATGGATCCTATTGCTGCAACCCAGTGGTGTGAGCAGGAAAACGGATGCCTGAGTTTTTGTGTGGTGGTTAACATTCCTGTGGAGGCCTGAACGGAGAGGCAGGTCGATCATGGATGAAGGTATTTTACACTGGTGTCTTTATTTGTGCTCACAAAATTTGTCTAAGCAGATCCTTCGAGCGTTGCGCTACATGTGGGGGCTCATTCGGGATACCTCTGCTCCACCACCAATTCTCCAAGACAACACTCCAGAGACCATTAAGATGGATCCCGTTACTGCAACCCAGTGGTGTGAGGAGGGCAACAACTGTAAGGAGGTTTGTGTGGTTGTTTACATTCCTGGGAAGGCCTGGATGGAAAGGCAGGTTGATCATGGATGAAGGTGTTTTACACTGGTGTCTTTATTTGTGCTCACAAAAATTGTCTAAGCATATCATTTGAGGGTGGCACTACACATGTAGGTTCATCCGGGATACCTCTGCTCCACCAGTATATCTCCAAGACAACACTCCAGAGACCATCAAGATGGATCCTATTGCTGCAACCCAGTAGTGTGAGGAGGACAACAGCTGTAAGGAGGTTTGAGCAGGAAAACAGATGCCTGAGTTTTTGTGTGGTGGTTAACATTCCTGTGGAGGCCTGAATGGAGAGGCAGGTCGATCATGGATGATGGTATTTTACACTGGTGTCTTTTTTTTGTGCTCACAAAAATTGTCTAAGCAGATCCTTCGAGTGTGGCGCTACATGTGGGGAATTATCCGGGATACCTCTGCTCCACCAGCAAATCTCCAAGACAACACTCCAGAGACCATCAAGATGGATCCCGTTGCTGCAACCCAGTGATGTGAGGAGGACAACAGCTGTAAGGAGGTTTGTGTGGTGGTGAGCATTCCTGGGGAGGCCTACTCACAAAAATTGTCTAAGCAGATCCTTCGAGGGTGATGCTACATGTGGGGAATTGTCCGGGATACCTCTGCTCCACCAGCAAATCTCCAAGACAACACTCCAGAGACCATCAAGATGGATCCCGTTGCTGCAACCCAGTGGGTGTGAGGAGGAAAACGGATGCCAGGAGGTTTGTGTGGTGGTTAACATTCCTGAGGAGGCCTGGACGGAGCCGCGGGTCGATCAGTAGGTGAGGGTATTTTACACTCGTGTCTTTATTTGTGCTTGCAGTGATTTTAGCCAATCAGGTGATGTCAGAGGGGCCGAGGTTGTTCTTGGAGTCGAGGTGCAGAACAGAGAACCCAAGATTATTCTTCGGGGGCAGAGCTACATTCATATTCATGGTGAACACTTGACAGTAATAATACAAATCATATAGTGCAGGTCTATACAAAGCTTAAAAAAGGACAATAAATACGTCATCTAGTCCCATGCATTTTGTTTTGAAAGCAACATTTCGGGCTGTTTAACCACCTCCCGCCCGCCATATAGTCCAATGACGGGCGCAAGGTGGTTCTCTCGTTCTGGGAAGATGTCATATGATGTCCTTCCATTCTCACCGCGCATGCGTGGCTCCGGGAGCGCGCAGCGCGGCGATCGCCGGTGCGCTGTGTCCCTCGGACACAGCGGATCACGGAAAGAGCCGAAGATGTCGGCTCGGTCATGTGATCAGCTGTGTCCAATCACAGCTGATCACATGTAAACACGGAAATGCCGGTTATTGGCATTTCTCTCCTCTCGAGCTGTCACGCTGACAGCTCGGGAGGAGAGGAGAGCCGGTAATCTGCTTTCCGCGGAGGGGACATGTACATTGATCATCAGGGCACTGATGATCAGTGTGCCCTAATGATCAGTGTGGCCCCAGAAGTGCCACCTGTCAGTGTCCATCAGTGCCAGCTGTCAGTGCCCATCAGTGCCACGTGCCAGTGCCCATCAGTGCCACATCAATGCCACATATCATTGCCTACCAGTGCACATCAATGCCACATATCAGTGCCCATCTGAGCTGCCTTTCAATGTCACCCATCAGTGCCAGTCAGTGCCACCTATCAATGCCAATCAGTGCCACCTATCAGTGCTTCCAATCAGTGCCACCTATCAGTGCCAGTCAGTGTCGCCTATCAGTGCCAGTCAGTGCCGCTATCAGTGCCAGTCAGTGCCGCCTAACAGTGCCAGTCAGTGCTGCCTATCAGTGCCAGTCAGTGCTGCCTAAAAGTGCCAGTCAGTGCCGCCTATCAGTGCCATGTATCAGTGCTGCCTTTCAGTGCCCATCAGTGATGCCTGTCAATGCCCATCAGTGCAACCTACCAGTGCCTCCTCATCAGTGCCACCTATCAGTGCCCATCAGTTCCACCTATCAGTGCCCATCACTGCAGCCTCATTAGTGCACATCAGTGAAGGAGAAAAATCACTTATTTACAAAATTGTATAACAAAAACTAAGAAAAGTTTTTTTTTTCAAAATTTTCTGTGGTTTTTGGTTTGTTTAAGAAAAAATAAAAATCCCAGAGGTGATTAAATACCACCAAAAGAAAGCTGTCTCAAAAAAATGATAACAATTTCATATTAGTACAAAGTTGCATGACCGCGCAATTGTCAAAGTGTGACAGCGCTGAAAGCTGAACATTGTCCTGGGCAGGAAGGGGGTATAAGTGCCCTGCAGGCTAGTGGTTAAGAAACATTTAATCGGTTTCAGGTTTATTCTGTTCCCAGTTTTCGGTGGAACTGAGAATCTCTGCACTCCATGATTTATCATTGGCGATTTGCTTATTCGTCAGTAGAGGGCGCGTCACTAAGAGACGGAGTTGCGAGATTTCTGAAAGTGAAGAAGGGGCTGTAAGAGCGGCGCATGCTCAGTACCGTCCTAGTTGAATGCTGGGACTTGAAGTTCCGCCGTCCCGGCCCCAGGTTGACAGCGGGTGGGCGGAGTATAGGGGACCGGTCCACGTGGCGTCACGACCAGCTGTGGCATCGGCCGATGAGTCCCCGCCCACCACCTCTTACTATGAGCGGAGGTGACGTCACGTGTAGGCTCGTGCTGCCCTAGTCAGATCGGTGTGTGATCGCCGGGTGTACACGCCGCTTCTCGCCATGGCCGCGCGCTGGGAGTACGTCACCGCGGAGCAGCTCAGTGGGTTCGATCGCTACAAGGTGGGTGTGGCGCCCGGGGGAGGGCGGGGCTCCGGTGTTCTCATGCTGAATGAGGGCTGTTCATTGATTGTATCTTCTCCTTTATGGAGGGCGGGGAGCCCCCGAAGTGCCAACCCAGACAGTCTGTCAGACTTCCTCCATGTGACAGCATGTGTGGCCCCTCAGACATGGGCCCCCTGGTACTATAGATGGCACACTCCTCTGAGACTATTGTACATAACCCAGCGCTCATATGGGCTCCCCTGGAATCATGTGGCCCCTACAGGATTGGGGCCACCAGGTTCATTATATTCTGCCACTGAGGCATAGGGGCCACTGAAACCCTATGTGGCCCCTCCAGGTTTTTGTACCTTGCCCAGAAGGCATGCCCCCCCTGGAGATCATTACATGTGGGGCCCTTTATATACTAGGTCCCCCTGGTATAGTTCCATGTGGCCCCTCAGGCACCAGGGCCCCCATAGAAATTATATTAGGCCCCTCAGGAACCAGGGCACCAAATAGATCATTATATGTGGCCCCTTAGGCAACAGCCTCCTGGAGACATTTATATGTGGCCCCTCAGGCACCATTCCCCCACCCCCTGGAGATCAATATATGTGGCCCTTCAGGCACCAGGGTCACCATAGAAGTCATATTAGGCCCCTCAGGCACCAGGGCTCCAAATAGATCATTATATGTGGACCCTCAGGCACCATTTCCCCCCCCCCAGAGATCATTATATGTGGCCCCCCTGGTTCCAGGGCCCCTGAGGGTAGTTCCGTGTGGTTCCTCAGGCACCAGGCCCCCTGGAGATGTTTATATGTGGCCCCTCAGGCACCATGGCTCCCCCTGGAGACATATGTGGCCCCTCAGGCACCAGGCTCCCCCTGGAGACATTTATATATGGCCCCTCAGGCACCAGGGCCCCCATAGAAATCATATTAGGCCCTCAGGGACCAGGGCTCCATATAGATCATTATATGTGGCCCCTCAGGCAATAGCCCCCTGGAGACATTTATATGTGGCCCCTCAGGCACCATTCCCCCACTCCCTGGAGATCAATATATGTGGCCCCTCAGGCACCAGGGTCCCCATACAGAACATTTTATGTGGACCCTCAGGCCCATTCCCCCCACCCCAGAGATCATTATATGTGGCCCCTCTGGTTCCAGGGCCCCTGAGGGTAGTTCTGTGTGGCCCCTCAGGCACCAGGCCCCCTGGAGACATTTATATATGACCCCTCAGGCACCAGGCTCCCCCTGGAGACATATGTGGCCCCTCAGGCACCAGGGCCCCCTGGAAATCATATGTGGCCCCTCAGGCACCAGGTCCCCCTGGAGACATTTATATGTTGCCCCTCAGGCACCAGCTGCCCCGGAGACATTTATATGTGGCCCCTCAGACACCAGACCCCCATAGAGATCATTATGTGGCCCCTCAGGCACCAGCCCCCCCCCCGGAGACATATGTGGCTCCTCAGGCACCAGCCCCCCGATACATTTATACGTGGCCCCTCAGGCACCGGGCCCACCATGGGGACGTTTATATGTGGAACCACAGGCACCAGGGGCCCCTGGAGATCATTATATGTAGCCCCTCAGGCACCACCCCCCTGGAGATCATATGTGGCTCCTCACGCACCATCCCCCCCCCCCCCCCCCAAGATCATATGCGGCTCCTCACGCACCATCCCCCATCCCGGAGATCATGTTCCCTGAGGCACATGGCCGCCTCCTCATGGGTGTATATAAGCGTAGACCTGGGTGAGGGCCGTATTGGCCCTCGTGGGAAGGGTCAGGCATGAGAAAAAACTGAAGAGGCATTAAATCTCCCATTTAGCTCCAGTTCACAGCCAAACACAGTGTGGGAAACCCTCATTCCATGCACATTTCCCGCACTGCGTTTATAAAACCCACTGCATTTGCAACCTGCGGCAAGTGTCCGTGTTATGTCAGTGACACAGCAAACAGTGCGCTTTCCTGCAGCACATCGCATGTACCACGTGATCCATGGCATGCACTCCATTTGCTGCAGTCCGGTGCAATTCAGCCCATTCAAAGTAATAGGCTCAAATCACACCGCATGAGACTCGTACAGCAACACGGAGCACGTTCTGTGCGATGCCTGGTGTGAACAGGGGCCCCAATCTACTTGTCCCTCATGACAATCTACTTGTCCAGATATAAAAAAAAAAATGAACCCAAACCGTATTTAGATTGGAGGTGATATTAGGAATGTTTAAAAGCAAAAGGGTTTTTATGGCGACTTAAACAGTGCAATGTTAAAAATATTATACGTTTATCTCCTCCTCCCCTCCCTGCCTGTCTCCTGCACCACACTCAGGGACTAGCAGGGAGCAGAGAGACCTTGCAGTGTAATGAGCACTGATTGGCTGCTCGTCAGGAAAGGGTGGAGTTAGAAAAAATAATTTTAGGCCTGAAGATTATACAAAACCCCAAACATACAGTCAGGTCCATAAATATTGGGACATTGACACAATTCTAACATTTTTGGCTCTATACACCACCACAATGGATTTGAAATGAAACAAACAAGATGTGCTTTAACTGCAGACTGTCAGCTTTAATTTGAGGGTATTTACATCCAAATCAGGTGAACGGTGTAGGAATTACAACAGTTTGCATATGTGCCTCCCACTTGTTAAGGGACCAAAAGTAATGGGACAATTGGCTTCTCAGCTGTTCCATGCCCAGGTGTGTGTTATTCCCTCATTATCCCAATTACAATGAGCAGATAAAAGGTCCAGAGTTCATTTCAAGTGTGCTATTTGCATTTGGAATCTGTTGCTGTCAACTCTCAAGATGAGATCCAAAGAGCTGTCACTATCAGTGAAGCAAGCCATCATTAGGCTGAAAAAACAAAACAAACCCATCAGAGAGATAGCAAAAACATTAGGCGTGGCCAAAACAACTGTTTGGAACATTCTTAAAAAGAAGAAACGCACCGGTGAGCTCAGCAACACCAAAAGACCCGGAAGACCACGGAAAACAACTGTGGTGGATGACCGAAGAATTCTTTCCCTGGTGAAGAAAACACCCTTCACAACAGTTGGCCAGATCAAGAACACTCTCCAGGAGGTAGGTGTATGTGTATCAAAGTCAACAATCAAGAGAAGACTTCACCAGAGTGAATACAGAGGGTTCACCACAAGATGTAAACCATTGGTGAGCCTCAAAAACAGGAAGGCCAGATTAGAGTTTGCCAAACGACATCTAAAAAAGCCTTCACAGTTCTGGAACAACATCCTATGGACAGATGAGACCGAGATCAACTTGTACCAGAGTGATGGGAAGAGAAGAGTATGGAGAAGGAAAGGAACTGCTCATGATCCTAAGCATACCACCTCATCAGTGAAGCATGGTGGTGGTAGTGTCATGGTGTGGGCATGTATGGCTGCCAATGGAACTGGTTCTCTTGTATTTATTGATGATGTGACTGCTGACAAAAGCAGCAGGATGAATTCTGAAGTGTTTCGGGCAATATTATCTGCTCATATTCAGCCAAATGCTTCACAACTCATCGGACGCCGCTTCACAGTGCAGATGGACAATGACCCAAAGCATACTGCAAAAGCAACCAAAGAGTTTTTTAAGGGAAAGAAGTGGAATGTTCTGCAATGGCCAAGTCAATCACCTGACCTGACTCCGATTGAGCATGCATTTCACTTGCTGAAGACAAAACTGAAGGGAAAATGCCCCAAGAACAAGCAGGAACTGAAGACAGTTGCAGTAGAGGCCTGGCAGAGCATCACCAGGGATGAAACCCAGCGTGTGGTGATGTCTATGCGTTCCAGACTTCAGGCTGTAATTGACTGCAAAGGATTTGCAACCAAGTATTAAAAAGTGAAAGTTTGATTTATGATTATTATTCTGTCCCATTACTTTTGGTCCCTTAACAAGTGGGAGGCACATATGCAAACTGTTGTAAATCCTACACCGTTCACCTGATTTGGATGTAAATACCCTCAAATTAAAGCTGACCGTCTGCAGTTAAAGCACATCTTGTTTGTTTCATTTCAAATCCATTTTGGTGGTGTATAGAGCCAAAAATGTCAGAATTGTGTCGATGTCCCAATATTTATGGACCTGACTGTATATTTTCTGAAATCAGAGACCCTAGAGAATAAAATAGCGGTAGTTCCAATTTTTTATGTCACATATTATTTTACAATTTCAGTAAAAAATGCAAGTTAATTTTGGAGCACAAAAAGC